ACGACATTACCGTTTGGGCCTGGCGGCGCTCTTGAGGCTGCCGCCCGCCGGTGTGATCTGAACCGACAATCTCGACAGTTCAGGTCACGGCCAGGCCTCGCAGCATTGAGGCCGGCCTCCTGCCCACCGGTACTAACCGGTCCGGCCTCATTCTGAGGCATCGAGCCACTGGCATGCTGCATCAGCGCCAGTGCGTATCGGTTGAGGCAGCAGCGCTATTCTTMGCGCAGGAGCAGCAGCAGCAGCGCRAGCTAGCGYAGCAGCAGCGACRAGCAAGGAGCTGGGCAGCAGTCCTCGGCAGTACGGCGGCCATAGCCGCGACCCRCAGTCGGACTACAGCAAGTCAGGTACCAGGAGGCGAGGAGATCTTCTCCTCCCTCCACGGCTACCGGCTCTCCCCTCCTCTCCTCCTCCTCCTCTGCAATCTCTTCTTCTTCTTCTTCTTCTTCTTCTTCTTCTTCTTCTTCTTCTTCTTCTTCTTCTTCAGACTTCATCTTCATCTTCTTCTTCTTCAGACTGGAGACTCGATACTAGTTGGACAGAGATCAGTGTTGGATTTCGRTGGTAAGAGGCTGTGGTACTTACCGGATTCGAGACTTGGAGATTGTTGGGGATGATACYGGCTGCATCACAGATTGGACACCGGTTACATTAGGACTCTGTATCTCCGACATTGGTGACTTATTGTCCACGACATTTGATCTTGTTCGATGAYATTTTGGACTACCATATCGGTGACCTACTGGATTCTATCTCGGTGACATCTGGCGCTACCTMCATCTMCCACCTCCTTCGTCTCTCCTCCCACCTTCATCTGTGTATGCGTGTACGGGGCCTGAGCATCGTCTATGAATGGCTCAGACCCCACCCTCTCACGATTGTTTGTGTGTGGAGTGATATCTGTGTGAGTCAGTCCATCTATCAGACTTCCGCTGCATACATGCCCATCCTATATTGGTTGATCTCTGGTTCTGCCCCAGACTCGTTGAAGTATTCACGACTATGTAACAGTTTTGGTATCGGAGCAGACCAAACGATGGATCTGCTCACCAGGTAAGTCTGATTTAGGAATAGATTGCTTCTTCGATCTTCCAAATCAGCTCTGTATTACTATCGAGATTCAAAGTTGCAAATTTTTTTTTTCTTTTTCGGTATTCTGTTTAAATCCGCATTCCGTTTCAATTTGGTATTCGGACTTTCACTTCGGATTTCTGTTTTAATCCGGTATTCTGTTTACTTCGGGTTCTGATTAAGTGTATTCTGGGTAATCCGACATTCTGTTTTAATTCGGATTTCTGATTTTAATGCGTGATTAGGTTTAAATCAGTACTCTGTTTAATTCGGCATTCTGAGTTCAATTCGGTATTCCGTTTTTAATTCGGCATTCTGATTTTAATCCTGTATTTCGTTTTCTAAATCGGTATTTCCGTTTTATTTCGGTATTGGAAATTCGGGTTACGGGAAATTTCGGTTTTTTGAACAATTTGGGAAATTTGAACGTTTTGGGAACCGTAAAACCGGAAATTCCGCGGAAACGCGGAAAATTAGGGTTGGGCTCCGAAATTTTCGCGAATTTTTTTTTCTTTCCCGAGCTTGAAAAATTCCGAAAACGGACTTAGGGCTTTAAAAATCGGAGTTTGCAGGTCGAAATTCCCAAAATTTTACGTTTTTCGAAAATTCGAGTGTTTCTTCCTAATTTTTCCGATTTTTTTTTTTTTTTTTGGCAAACTGTTCGGAATCGTGCCCTCAGAATTGCAACTTCCGGGTAGTTCACTCATTAACGGTGAACTCCCATTAACGGTGAACTCCCGGACCATAGGAGATCTCAACGGATACCTAATCTGGTCACAATTTAAAATTCGGTAATTATCATTATGGCGTTATTGTTTTATTGATTATTAAGAATTATTAATTCGTTATTAATCATTCAATTCAAATTTATTGATTATTAATTCATTATTGTGAGGATTAAGCCCTCAAGTAGGGGCCTTGCCATGATGTGCATGTTCTGGGCTAAGGCCCCAGCAAGCCTCATGCCCGCCCTAAGTGAATGCGGGCCAGCAAATCAACAAGGACCCTCTGTGCCAACATTTCACGAAGTGGGGTTCATACAAATGCAGCACGCCAGTTGGTTGGAGTGCACCGAGTCTCGGATTTCAGCAAATGCTGAAAGCCCAGGGCCTCTGAGTTGGTTAGGCCCTGGGCACTCAAACGTGAGGCCGACAATGCATGCTGGGAAGAGAGGCCGAAAATGCCAAAGGGAAATCGGCCCACTATCTGAATCTGGCTGCAGGCCTTGATGAAAGAGGCGCAACTGCACTGCCCCGGGGCCCAACTGTATCGAGTTGGCTTCAGCCTCTAGGTCCCGGTCACAGGCTGAAGGGAGGCCGCCCACACGCTGCATTGGCATATAGGCAAGCAGGGCAAGGCAGCGGGGATCTTGGCCAATGCTGGCACTTGCGGGCACGCTGTGCGGATGCATGTGTGGTGCGCTAAGAGCAAGCAGGCCAGCGCTAGGCGGTAGGGCGCTGCCTGCATACAGGGCGCTTGGCGGCCATAGCCGGGCTGCAGAGGGCGCAGAGGGGTAAAGGGCGAAGGTGGTCTTCGGAGGTGAAGGGCGCTGTGTGGGTA